ATCATGTAATAATATATGTATCTGTTCACACTCAAAACATTAAATGGCCTGGATTGGAAAGTTCAGTGTGGGCCACCGGTAGTATTATATATGCGGCATGAAACGTGTATACAGATAGATAATTTATTAAACTTGTCGCGCTCACGTGAGACTGTGAGTCGCGAAATCAGAAGCAGGTCATCGAGCAAGATAGGGAAAAACGTGCGGGAGAAAGGATTTTTTCTCGCGGCGGAAATGCGGAAGTGCAAGAACGGGCAGTCGAAAGAAATCGACCGAGTGATAATGAGCATGGGAACGTTTCACAATGATTGCGATGTAGTCATTAGAAAGAGGAAGACAGTGGAAAATGAGATGAGGAAAGAACTCGCTTCTCGTGCCGTTCGCTCACAAAACGGAGACGAGCGTGCATGTGTTGTATGTACGTGTGTATCACGGATGGCATGATTTCCGTGACGCAAAGTGGTGATCAAATACGAGGATAGTACGACGTTCGCACGCATTGGGATCTATATTTTTATAGATTTCTAGGTTTTCTTTGCCGCTTCTTCTCCTACGAAGAGAAATAAAAGCGGGGTATACAAGTGATTGTTGGAAAATTTTGCGATTTCTCAATGAACTGCTCCGAAGAGGATTTCTTCAAACGCAAGTTCGAGCATAAGTAATCACTCGTCGCGTTTGCAAGCCGAGATCAATTTTCAATTTTATGAGCGAAAATAAATTCGTTCATGGTAATTGAAATGTAACTGACGTCTCTTAATGATGAAAATAGTTTATACATCGATACATAAATTACCCGTCAGACTTCCGTTTTCTGTATGAGACAAAGCTTGAATTGTTTCCGCTTTCTTAAGCGCTTTCTCGCGACGCGACCGAAGGAGGAAAGAAATCGTAATAATTATCAATGAGTTCGTTCAACGATGGAATATTTTTTTCTTTTCTATCATTCCGATTGAAATTTTTCTATGACATCGGTGTCAAGTGGCAATAACCAACTGACTTCGCTTTCACGTAGTTGTTGAATTTCAAACGTACCTAATGACGAAGTGAAAACAAACAGCGTGAGAATGAATGTAAACTGCATGAAAGAAAATCATTACGATAAGCTTTGGTGATATATTTGATGGTGGCTTAAAATTATGCTTCGTATTAATTTGCATCGCATTAATAAAATTACAGGTTTGCAACGCAAATCTGCTTTTCCATCGTGTGTCTCGCAGGTGAAACTCCATAAAAGTACTCGGTACATCCCAGAAATTATATTGACACAGATTTACGTGTTGAAATTCAAATGTTTTTCGAGAGTTCAGTTAAGTTCCATATTATCTTTCGTTAAGATAACGAAAGAGCAAGACTGATGAGAGCGCGTGTTACGTAATACATAAATCAGACATAATACTATTAGTTACTCGTTTGCATCATACGATCAAGGCCTTGAGTATTTTGAGTAATGGAAGAAAAATTTACGATACGCGAACATGAGTGTACAGAATGTTATCGTGAATGATATAGTTTGCGTTACATGGCACGCATTTTTATAACATACCTTAGACACACTTATACACATGTAAGTACATATGTGATAAAAATATTAGCCGACGTATGCTATTCTTTTGACACGGAAGCGCTGATTACGTCCCATACTGGATAAATAAAGTACATCGTGGGATCGCATTAGAATGAATATGTACATAATTTTTTACGAAGTAAAACAAAATTCATATTAATTTAAAACCTGCATCAATTAATCTATATTAAATAGATATTAAATAGTATTCGATATTAAATTTAATATATTTAATTTTATGATTTTCTTATTACCTAAAAAATATTTATTTTCCTAAAATTTTCAACAGTCTAAAATTCTTGTTCAATTACCATTACTATCTTATATCATCGCAGCTCGAAGCGAGAAAATACGTAATAAAAATTTTTGCAAGATATACAATATGTAAAAATATATATTTAATATTATAAAAACAACATAATCGATAAATTGCAAAATATATTGAAATTCTCTTTTGTAAAATAATGTACCTGAAAATTAATTAAACCAAAATGAATTATGTTCACAGCAATGACAAATTGTCAAAATAATAATACATAGAAATAAATATAATTTAATTTCTTCCCGAAAACAAGAAGATAGTTTTTGATATATTTGATAAGTCTATTCTACCAATTGCAAATATTGTTTTATTAAAATATATTTCTATCCAAATATAATTTACAAGAGTTTATATTGTGCTGTCTCACTTCTGACATGATAATCTGAGGCCACGCAAAACAAAAAGTAAGACGTAAGCAGTAAGGAAATCACAGAGTCATAAGACAATAACGTAAGCAGTAGCCGAGAGGTCAGTCAACCGGTGCTAAAAAAAATGTACAATAATTGCTAATTGTAGTAATACAACACACTTTGATGCTAGCACTGCTATTATATTGTTAGTATTTTTTTCCTATGTATTGCCATCTATTGCGCACGATATTGCTAAGTATTATTAATATATTGCTACATACTGCTATGTATTATCTATTTTATTATGCCGTAATATATTTCTAAAGAAATGTATTCTGATTGACATAATAATTGACCCTTGGCACTAACAAATTCAAAATGTTGATTTGCTCTTACTGCTTAAATTTTTTTGAGTGTCAGTTTTAGAATCATTAACATATTTACTGATTAACTTTATGGTTTTTACTGTGATTCAATTCGCTTGCTGCTTACATTTTTCTTAACTTTTTTGTGTGCCATAATGGCGAGTAAGCCTTGAGCGAAATCTTTTTTACAAAATTTAATCGAACAGCTATTGCGAATATAAGCGTAAGCAATTGGTCTGGCTGCCTATAATTGACATTGACTAATTAATTATTTTTAAACAAAATATTGTTCATACTGTTAAAATAAATGTAATAAGTTGTGTAGTAAGCGATTCCAACTTCGTTGTCATTAACTAAAGAAATGTTGTAGATGTTTTGAAACTGATTCATAATTTTTTTCTTTGAATTAATCAGTGAACTTGTTTACTTTTCTTCCATAACCCACACATTATCTTGCGTATTTTTACTATATAAATCTATTCTGAGCAGACAAATACGTGAAACGTTTAGATAATGATTATTGAACTTTTACATGGATATGATTTCAACAATGTTATAAAAATGATAAAGATAAGAATTTTATTTCATTCTAACTTTTATCTGATAAGCATTATTGTAATAGTATTTCAATATAGCATTTTGTATGTACTCTGACTATTATCGAATCATTTCCTGTTACAATCACTTTAAATAAGCTATTCGTAATATTCGCGTGAGTGTTCCTTAACGAATTTAAACAAAAGCTTACAATAAACAATCTATATCCTAAATATTTCTCGCAAGAAAACAGGCATTATATTCATTCGGAAGCAATTACAATTAAATAAGTAAATGCTACATGGGAATATTTGTCACAACCTTCGCGTAACACGTAAACCTTTACATATCATATAAAGCATATAAATAAAAAAAAATAGTACAAATAAAGTACCATTTTTAAAGTTTTATTTAAGGCATTATATTATAAACAATCCTCATCATTCATATGATGACTATTTCAATAAATCATATATTTGCTGCAACCTTTAAATGTCAGGCAAATAAATATATAAATAAAAAGGAACTCCAACTTGAGTCTTATTTATAGCATTATATTTGTAAAGTAGACAAGCCTTTTTATTATTCATGTTTATTTCAATAAATCACATCTATCATGATAACTATCCTAAACAAAATATTAACAATATTAGCAATTGATCGTAGCAGTAGATTCGGATAGAATAATATGACAAATTGTTACATGGAAAGAATGGTTTTGCTAAAGTATCTAAGTGTCCGAAAATAATCTTGTTAGACCATCAAAATAATTATATAGAATGATCAAGTTAAAATATAAAAACTTTTTGGATCATTACTCATCATGCTTGAATTTTCTACATAATTATTTTGATAATCCAATCAAATTATTTTCAAATTTGTATCTAGTTCTTTAGGTATTTCAGTATCTGCATTTCTTTCCGTATCTGCATTAAGTTTACTTTCTGCTAGCAAAATTTTTTGACAATCTTGATAATCTGACAGCAGATTGCCAGCAGAAAAACCAGTCTATTATTTTAAGACCATTTGAATGATGTATTGAAATGATTATAAAATTGCAGATTGTATTTAATTAGCAGTCAATCTGCCATTGTATTCTATTGATGAATCTTCTTATATTTCTGTTGGTATTTTGTCAACAAAATTTACAACAGGCAGAGATCTATTAACTATCTGGGTATGATAATGATAATAATCTTTTCATTAACTCATAGTAAAAACACACATTTTTTGATGCTAAAGGAATATATGGATCTTATTATAAAGTTTATTATTTATTTATTTTAAGAATTTTTTTAAACTATGAAAAATAAGCTAGTGGAACATAAATTATTCCAGAAATTACTATTTAAAAATTAGGAAGAGTTCCAGAATCATAAGAATCTAGTTCCAGATATGTATTAATTACAACCAACATTAATCAAACAATTTTCATAAATAACTTTATCCAGATGTATTAACATCTCCTATTCTTTTACATCATTATAATCTTTTCATTATATCAAACAGACAAATCAATGAATGCAATGCATACATATATTCTTATCATCAGATATAATTTTTTAATTTTGACGCAGGATGTTCCAGATTAAGGACTATGTTTTTAAATATTTTTAAAATTTACTTATTCATATTATATGACATAATATGAAACATTCAGTCAATAAGGTAACGACAGCAAGTCACACGCCCACCCATGCTGGAACATAGGCATCCAGCATGAACCTAACCTCACTTTTGCGGCTATTCCTAATTCGAAATTCACAAATAATCTTATTTTGTTGAACGTCGACAGCCGGGGTGTTTAAAAACGGCCGACTCGCCGGTCATATGAATGGTGTGAAATGAATTTTCAGACTTACGGTTCGGCGATGACCGGCGCGATCTTAAGCACTGTCGTCAGGAAGGACTGGTCCTTGCAGACGAGGAGGGGCTTTTGCGGCGCGTTGTTCACATTTAGTATTCTGAACAGGATGCACAGGATCACGGCGAAGAGGGCCAGCAACGCTGTGGACATCTTTCTTGAGGAGCTGCCAGCGCCTGAAAGAAGTATATCCTCTGTCTACTCACTCTCTTTCCCTCCTCGTACTTTTACTCTCGGCTTCCTTAAAAGTACCGCTCTTCAAACACGTCCTCCGCTGATCCTTCTTCAGAAATAAACATTTATGCTTTTACACAATGATATTACGCGCGTTATCTTTCGGGATGCTTACAAACGTGACATGTTTAATCATACCTTTTCCTGGAAAAGGAGATCGGCTGTCTTCCTTTTTAAACTTCGAAGGCCGATAAGACGGACGAGCTGCGACGGTCGCGGATGGTGATTCATGCGATTGATGCTTCGTGACCTGCGAACAAAAGTTACACAGTTTTATTAGGATTCCGGTCGCCGGGCTCGGATGACAGGTACGTGACGGATGAGTACTGGATATACAGAACGACGCGAATGCCGGGGAGCACTGCAAATTGACAGAAGTGCACGACGTCTCGCGCGATCGAGAATGCATCCTGACCTCCACAAAGGGTATCGGCAATGAATGAGGCGAAAATTGATCGCGTTACATCGTTTTGCATGCCCGGGCCCGGTCCCGGCTCTTCGTCGGTGCAGCGGGAATGGCGAGGGTTATATCGACGATACGAAAGATCGATAGCGGCAGATAAACTCGGCGATATCGCGCGTTTCTTCGACTTAAGAAAAACAAGTGACGATAGTGTTAAAATGAATCATTAACTGATTGAAAAATGAATTTTAACCATTTTTAAAACACTTTGACGTCATTTTAAAATGGATGATCTGCTTGGGCAATTAATGTTCACAGAAAATACTTCAAGAAACGCAAGTTTACAAGAAGTTTTTTTATAAATTCCTCGATATTTATTTACAGCGAACTTGATCGCTTTCAGTATAGATTAGCATACTAAAAGCTATACTGAAAAAAGAATGGCATTAACTGGGATTCTGATTGAACATGGATAAATCAGAATTTTCTAGTTGAAATCGCTATTTATAATTCTAAGTTGAAACAACTAGAATTTTAATTTTGATCTGAATCTCCTTTGTTAATTCATTTTCAATCAGAAATTTTTCTCAGAGTATATATAAAATTAGTAAAATTAAATGTAAAAGCATATAAATATTTTAAATGATTAATAATAAAAAAAAAGAAGCCAAATAGATTCGTGAAATTATTTAAATTGTAAATTTGAAATTATTTAAGCCCGAATGACTTAATATTTTAAACAGTTAAATATCTAATAATGATGTAATATTATCTCTCGTTATTTTAATAGAACATATATATATATATATATACATATATATATATTTATTATTATTGTCGAAGTTGATTAAATTATGTCACTGCATTTAAATTAATTATTTTATGAAGCAGTCTTTAGTATGCATTATTCGAACAATCGAATTCACCATTAATGATAGCGATTAACGCATGGAATAAATCAAATTTATGCATTTTTTTCGCTTGTCGAACGATGTACGTGATTGGTTCAATGATTGTTTGTTGAATGTTTTGCATTCGAATATCTCTTTTTTCGCGTAATGGTTATTTTCCATTGCTTACGAAAGAATTTGATTCATTATTCCGATCGAATCCCGTCTTGAAAACTTAAAAGTCAAACATTGATGTCCGTTAATTATTAATTTCTCTTTGAATCAATGCAACGTTGGTAGCATTTTAATGAAGTCTGCTCCTTCGTCTTGTCTTGGGTTTAATAGAGAGGACAAATCTACGAATAGCGACAATAACAATAATAAAGGGATAAATACACTCTAAGAAAAAGAAGTTGATCATTGTCTAAATTGATTTAGTTTGTCTTTATTTTTTTCAATAAAAAATGTATTTAATCACATATTATATGACTTAAATACATGCATTTTTCAATGAAAGAAATAAAAACAGTAAATTAATTTAGTTAAATAAATAATTAATTTAATCAAATGAACAATTCTTTTGTTTTAGTATACAATTCTCGTTCTAGGGTGCGGTCAAAGGATGCGTTCCGTTTCCACAATGCACATAATGTGTTATTTTATCTATCTTTATATTCAATGTAACAGGATAAAATGATAAATCTTGCACATCGTACGTGAAATGGAACGCACCCGAAAGTCTCACTACAATTGCTTTGAAGCATTTGATTCACTAATCAGAAGAAAGAATTGACTAAGCAAAGAATTGCTTCGAAGCATTTGTAAAATCACATTGACGTATTCCTATTCCTAGTTAGCATCTATAAAGAATAAAAGACACGCGAATAAAGTTGATCCATGCTTTCCAAATTTTGACGATACTAAAAATTTACAGTAATCGTTAATGAAAACGAATAATTCTGAAATAAAATCGCATTTCGTCTCGCTGTTCTATACTTGGGTGATGAATGAAATGAGAAAACGTTGAAGAGACGGAGATACTGTAAATACCGCTCGCTTTTCCGAAAATTTTGCTCACCGGATGACAATCCAATCGGCGAATTATGCCGGTTGAAGGTACGTCGTGTCCAGGATATGAGTTCCTATGCGGCCGGCACGCTCAGCTTGCCGGCGCTTCGCGGAGCGGAGCAGATGGCTCGAAATGCTCAGCCACGTATCACACATCCATTCGTGTCGAACTCCGCCGGGCGACTGATTAAGTGACAACCGACATCTGTATGCGCTCGCGACAAACACGCCGTTGGAGCAAAGGGACTCGGCATTTCTTCCCATAATATACGTATATGTATGTTATATAT